TCCTGGTTTTGGGTCCACACAAGTAGAAATATACCAACTAAACCATGCATGTCTCTTCAAGGTGCACAGGGATAAATGATCATCAGAGAAAAAACCAGTAGAGAGGAAAGTGAGCTAGAGGCAGTAAAGGGCACAAGAGGCAGAGCTGAGAAAGTAAAGGACAACTGGAGGTGTGATGAAACACACAGGCCAGAATTAGTTGCAGAAGAAAATGAATTGTGAGAAGGACAGTGATAACAAAGCAGAAGAGGAGCAGTAACTATCCAATCTGCATCACGATACAACAGACAAACCTGAGCAAAGTATCATCTCAGTTGTTCTAAAATATACTGTATTGAAAAATTTAAATATATTGATTTAGTTCATAAAGACGTAGTTTTAGGTAGAAGATGGGTTAGGGTTAGAAGACTTTTCACCTCTCATCCAAGAGGCTTCATCAGTTCTGTCCGACTGGTGGTGAGCAGGAGGTATTTATCCCCCTGGGTGGTGTTTCAGTCCTTCAACAGCGAACAATGTCCCCTAATGACTGATTTGTCTGGAAGTACTGTATATCAAAAATCTACACACACAGACTAATACCTTCTTTTTGACTCACACCATCCACTGCAACATAAATTGGGTGTTATCAGAAGAGAGCCAATCCCAGTCAGCAATCGGGCGAAGGCAGCGTACACCCTGAACAGGCTGCCAGTCCATCGCAGGGCTCAAGGCCAAATAGTAAACATGTATGTTCCTAGTGATGGTGCCATGTTCTGAAATCTCAGCAAGAGGGTTTGTTCAATTATAACCAGTTGCTGGGAAAATAAAACCAAATTAGTTGTTTTTTTTACAAAAATACTGTTGTTTTATTCCAGTCCTTTGTTGTGGAACTTGCCCTGGGCCAGTGAGGGTCAAGTACCTACCAAAAGCAATTCCCTTATTTTCTGGGGGGAAAAATAATCTCTTCAATCTGAAGGAAAGCACAGGCTTTATTGCAAAGGTTACAAATCGCAATATCTCCATTTCTGATTTGCAAAGCAGGATACTAACAGGGCTCAATGCACCTCCTTATATACTATTCACAAGCACCCCCTCGCCTGGGACTTACTCTGCCCCACCTTTCTCTCTTTGACCCCCCCCCAATAAAACACCATTATTTCTTGATAATGTATAGTCAAACTTGGTTATGCCACTTCATAAACCTTACTTTGAAACACAATTGTTTCTATCTTGGGATATCTTTCCAATACATTTATAAGCTACTTAATAAACCATTCTTTCTGGCTAAATATTAAGTCTAGAAATTAAAATAAAAAAAAATCTTTAATACACTTGCAAGTGACAAATGACAAGCTGACAGGTTCAGGTTACATGACTGACATTATTAATGAGGAAACAACACCTCCTTCACACATGATTCTGATTAATAGTACACTCCAAGCCATCCAAACATCATAAACATGTCAAAAACATCATTAAAGCAACATGAAGTGACATGCAACACACCAACCTGTCATGTCAACCCTTCAAGAAGTGACAAGCAAGTGATGAGATGACACTTACACAATATAAATTTGATGACATTGCAAGTGTAAGTGTCCACAGATGGCATATTTGAGGTCACCAGACAGACTGGCCTGTGTAAAAATAAGCAAAACTAATGATTCTCAACATAACATCAAAAAAGGTTCTTTCAGCCTCTCCCTCTCTGAAGTGTGACAGGTGCCTCAGTGTCTCTGTCTAGTCTGGGCAGCAGTCCAAGTAACTGACTAATAAGCTTTCTCTCCTTGTTTTTCTCAAGGCCACTGAGGTCACCTCATGGTCAGCCTTATACACAAAAATACTGAGTAAATATATTAAGTATAGTGAATAAAATGAAATTAAACCCATACAATGAATACAGGCATAAGCATAAAATGAATGAGTACAATTAAACCTCTGGACCTCCCACACCATCATCTATTAGTAGCTTTACAGAGTGTGCTACTGCTTAGGGCACTTTCAATCTAATAAATGTCAGATCAATGATTGTTTTATCCTTACTGATAAATTATACTATTCTACAGCATAATCTGGAAATGATTGGTTTGTGTGAAACTTGGCTCAAATAAATGTTTTCTTGCCATTAAATGAAGCTTCCCCACTGGAGAATACCAGTGCACATGTTCGTCAGACTATTAAATAAGGTGGTGGTGTTGCCTTAATATTCTATTCTCAATTTAACCTCCAAATTGGATATTATTCTCAACTCTTTTGAGGCTCTTTAAACCATCTCCACTAACTATAAATACAGCTGTATCCAGGGCAACAGAATTTGGAGAACTCATCTCCCTTGTTACTCATTCTGATGAGATTCTAATTGTAGAGGGCCTCAATATCCACCCAAATAAGGCCTGTGAGTCTTTATACAAAGCTTGTCACTCACTGCTACTTTTTGTTATACCCGCTCTGTATGTACACCTACTCACTGCAGTGGTAACACCTTGACCTGTCTACAAACAGAAAGAAAGTGTCTGATGTTGTAAAGATTTGTAAAGCCCCTAGAGTCAAATTTGTGATGTATGATATTGGGCTCTACAAATAAAGATGGACTTGACATCTGATTTTTGCATTCCAGATTTGATTTTCATACATCATAACATATTGATGCAATACATTTTGCCAGCCACATCTAAAGTGATATTATAATGCTTTGGAAATTTGTCAGCAGTAATGAACATAAACACACACAAGATAGCAGGAGATGAGGGGCTGAGTTGTGCAAAACTACCGTAGGCTACACAAAGAAATCCTTTGGCCAAATAAGATGGATCTATACCATTGATGGGAAGATTTCTCCCCACATATTGACTTCTACAGTTGTGATTATGGGTGTCTTTTGGCATTAAAATTGTGCCTTGTGCAGCCTTAATAGTAAGCATTACCAGAGGGTGTTCTTGTAGCTAAGCCACCTTACCAGCACCATCTCATTATTTCATCCTTACCACTGTCTCTCGCTTCACTTTAAACTGACCGATAAAGCAGAAAAACCATTAAAACTGAAACAATATGCTTTCATTTCATGCAGGCAATCATGTAGTGACAGCAGGTGTCATATTCTCAGATGGCTGCCATCTTGTGAAGCTCTTTATATCTAAACTGTGAAATGTTAGATGAAGTGACGCTTCACTGACTGGAACAGACACTAACAGCTTAATAACAATATAATAATTTCCTTGCTCTTCAAGGAGACAATGGAGGAATACAGCTTGCAGATGCTTAATACTTAGTACGTTGTTCTTTCTTCTCTGTCCTTAAGAGAGGTAAGTTCTTAAAGAGCATGCTCATTTCCAGCCATTTAGTGTTTAACCTTGGGTACCTCTAGATTAGCGTTAAACCCTTCATAACTCCAATTAGTCTGTAATTATTTCAGAACAATAAAACCTGAGAGCCTCCTCTTGAAAATGAGAGGATAGTTCATGAACACGCACACCTCTTGCTGCCGGTGTTGTGTCAAAATCTGTTTCTCCATGGAGATGTGTTTCCCCTAACCTGGATCCTAACATTATCCTGGCCACAACCACTACATGAAATACATCTCGATGGGGGAGCACTTTTTGACACAAGACCAGTCAGGAAGCCAGGAAAATGCATAAACAAAAAAACACTGCCAAATAAGCGTACGTTTTAAACAGTGACACTACCTGACATGTTGGAGCCAGAATATGAAAATGGACAACACAATGAACCGCAAAAACATTAATTTATATGAATTTCTCCTTCATAGCCAGGTAAACAAGAGTATATGTAGCAATGAAAAGGGATTTGTAACACTCTACACAAAACGGGAAATTGAGAAACCCCATATTTTAACTGGCATAATTCAGACATAGTAACTTCTCCAGCTTTACAAGAATTCTCTCTACAGAAACAACACATTAACAGACATGCAATCTATTTTTGGTTGTTTGTTTGTTTTTTACTTACTGTCACATCCCACCAAGAAGTGGAAACTTTAAGGTCAGTAAATCCAACTGGTCATCTCATCACAAGTAAACGAGTAGCTTTGCACCGACAATAACATCATGGATTGCTGGAAATCTCTCGTCAACCCACAATACATCACATGTGGCAGACACACTGGCCTCAAGCAGTCAAAACAAACAGGCACTGTGCTCCAGAGGAATCCAGTGTTGACGAGCTGATTCACCACCCCAGGGTGCTTCAGTGGCCATCTGTTTGTAGGTTTCCAGCTGCTCCATTCTCATCATGTTAGACCCAGTCAGGTAAAACAGTGAATCCCTGCACATGAACAATCCTGGACATGCAGTAACCTCAGGCCCTGTATTTTTCTCCACATCCTCTGGTCACAATGTAGCAGTAGGCGGTAAAATATATCCGCAAAGCCACGTTCAGTCAAAAAAATCCTACTTTTAATATGGCACAGTGGATGTAAGGCAAGCTTGCATGAATGTGCAACTGCCTGGTGAAAATGGCCTTTCATGGAAATCTGTGAACTATTGCGTAAGGCTTTAAATCGTTGGAAAAAAGGTTTCAAGAGCTCACAAGACATGTATAAACCAAGTTGCTTCTGCATAGAAGTACTAGAACACATGTACACCTCATTTTTTGAGCTTTCAGACACACTGACACAAGATGAAAATTCAACATTATACATAAGTCAGAAAATACAGAAGAGCATGCCACGTGCTCTTTAAACTTCAGCTAACCCTCTGTCCTTTTTTGTCCCTTGTTGTCTACTCTCATTCTTGAAAGACTGAAAATAGGTTTGTTTCCTTGGGCTTGTAATGTTCAGTGACTACTGGACATGAGATTATTATGCTCATCCTGTTTCCCGGACATGCCCGGAAAGTAATAATCTCTGACGGGGAAGCTAAAAAAGCTAGGAAAGCTAAAAATAGTCAGGCAGTCATACAACAATGACAACAACAACAAAAAAACTAGAGTGAAGTTTACTGGGGTCAGACCGAAATGACGAGATGAGTAAAGATAGTAGTTATGTGGGGTTGTTAGCCTCCTACCTGTGTGGGGTTGTAGAGCTCTTGCAGGGCGTTGCGAGACCCTTTCCTACAGCAGCCGCCCACCACAAAGTGGTTCCTCCGCATGACTGCAAAACAAATGAGACAACAAAAAGAATTAAAGACTTTTAAACCCACCAATCCAACCAAAAAAAAAGACTCAGGAACATGTTTATTTCAATGGCCAACTGTGGTACTGCAGTAGAAATAAAATCCCATTTAGTAACAGAAGCTAACACTAACCACCATGATCTACTGGTCATGCTACACCAAGTAAGGATGTAGCAGTATGTGCCCATCCACAGGGGACTCAGAGTTTCTTTTAATTTTTGCCTATGCCTTTTTTCCTTTTATCAGATTTTTATGATTTTTATCCTCTTATCAGATTCTTTAAACTTAAGAAGAAACCTTACATAGCTGCACTGTTAACCTGCCATACCAGTATGCTAAAGGTTTGTCCTTAGAGAACATATTCAATAAGATTTTTATTGTCTTCCTCTAATGATGGAGACAAACGTTCTATGGTCACAAGAGTCACTCTTTGATTGTGCCATATTGGTGTGGTTGATTTTGTTTTGCTGTTGACCCCTCCTCAGGGGTTTGCTGACCATCTGCTGAACGCTACAGGGCTAAATAATGAAATAAATTGCTATATGCCAAGAGAGAGTTCAGTGTTTGTTTGGCTAGATCTCAGCTCTCTACACAACTCAAAACAGAGTAGTAGCTGTTGGCAGCAGCTCAGGGGGAGCAGTCAGCGCAAC